TCCCTTGATCAAAGCTGTGAAGCAAGATCAAGGTGTGTTTGAAGTGTATCTTCATATTGGTTTTGTAATTGTGTATTGATATCACTGAGGTGATTGAGGGGGAGTGAGTGGGAAACTCTGGTCTAGTGGTCTCTAGGCTGAAGTGTCATTGGGTAGGTCTTAAGTGAAGAGTGCAAACTGGGATTGTTTGACTCTGAATTAATTCTACTAATAGTGAATTTCCTCCCTGGCTTGGTAGCCTCCAGATGTAAGTGTGGTTGACATTGAACCGGGTGAACAATTACTTTTGTTATTTACTGCTTTCCATTTATAGCTTATTATTAAGTGCAGTAATCTATGTTACAGTGGATGTCATAACATCTGTGATAAAATCCATCATGTGCTTGCCAGAATTGCAATAATAAAGAATGTTAGGGTTAAATTTAGAAGAAGAAAAAAAGTTAGATTTTAATAAAGAAAAAGGTTTTTGTTTATTTAGAGAAAATTAGATTTTAAAAAGGTTTATAAGGTTAGAAATATATTTTTTTAAAAAAATTGTAATTAATTGAAAATAAGGTTTTAATTTTAATTTTGTTAGTAATTATTATTTAAGAAATTTTAGTTTTAGGTTAAATTAAATTTAAAAAAGGATTTAGTTTAAAATTAATTCTTATTAAAAGGTTAAATTTAATTAAAAAAGGATTTAGTTTTAAAAAAGAAAATTTATTAAAGGGGCTTTGGTTTAATTTTCTAAAAGTTTTAATTATTTTAACAATGTTTATTATTAATTACTACAGAAAATATAAAAAGAATAATAAATACAAAATAAAGTGAAAGACCTAAGGGTTAGTCCTAAGTTTACTCGCCAAGACTCGCATCTTGTGCCTACGTATCGGAGGTAGGGGATGGAATCAGAGTAATCGTAGTTCCCCTCGAAAGGAAGAAATTGGAACTTCTTGACTGTGATCAAGGTTTCATGGGGATGCAAACTTTCTTAAGGAAGCGCCTGCGTGGAGTGCGGCGACTCCTATTTCTACATTGTAATTGAATTGAATTAAAAAGGGTAAAATAGGTATTCCACGGCGGGAAACCTAATATGGAGGGCAGCGACTCCTTATCCTAATGCTAGGGTAAAAGGGAAAACCAGTCCACGGCGGGACGCCTAAGTAATTAGGGTTTGAAAGGTGAAAGAGTCTAGGATTAAGGACTATTGACATGGCGGTCAAGCAGCTAGACTTATCCTTCGGAGGGAAATTGACAGAGAAATAATGATCAATAAAAAATAATAATTGGTGACAGTATCAAAATAATATGCAAATGAATAATAAGGGAATAAGAAGCGACAATATCGTTAAACAATTTACAACCATAAAACAAACCGAAATAAAAGGTTAGTAACAAGTTCAACATAAAATTAGACGGATAAATTAATCAGGACGATAAAAAATGGAACAGAAAAGGAATGACATTATGTTCTAGGTGCAATTTAGAAGAAAGTTGGAATAATAAAGAAGGTTAGGGTTAAATTTAGAAGAAGAAAAAAAGTTAGATTTTAATAAAGAAAAAGGTTTTAGTTTATTTAAAGAAAATTAGATTTTAAAAAGGTTTATAAGGTTAGAAATATATTTAAAAAAAAGTTTTGTAATTAATTAAAAATAAGGTTTTAATTTTAATGTTGTTAGTAATTATTATTTAAAAAATTGTAGTTTTAGATTAAATTTAATTTAAAAAAGGATTTAGTTTAAAATTAATTCTTATTAATAGGTTAAATTTAATTAAAAAAGGATTTAGTTTTAAAAAATGAAATTTATTAAAGGGGCTTTGGTTTAATTTTCTAAAAGCTTTAATTTTTTTAACAATGTTTATTATTAATTACTACAGAAAATATAAAAAGAATAATAAATACAAAATAAAACAGAAAATGTATATAAAATGCAAATGGGTCGGGCTGGCCACCAACCCAGACCCGACCCGTTCCCGAAGATATAAAATGGCCCTAAAAAATTTAGGGTTCCATTTTCCTCCATTTTGCAGCCCGCGGCGCAACTTCTTCCATGGGAGGCTTGCTCTGAGCTTCCTTCTTCTTTTCTCGTTGTTCCGTCCATTTTCTTCCATTTTTCCTGCCATCTGAAAAACAACAAACAATCTGTTAATGGAAAACTGCTCACCTTTTTCGTTATGTGTTTGAAGTGGTTTTGTCGATGACTTACGATGGTGATGGTGTGGTTTCCGCGATGATGTTTACATCCGCGGCTGAACGATGATGATGAAGATCTGATGAACTTTTGTGTTGATGACTGTTCTTTGATGACTTACTAGTTGCAGCCGCTGTTGATTTTTGATGTTGTTCTTGATGAACTTTGGGTTTCAAAAATCTCGTCCCCCTTTTTGTGATTTCTGGTGATGATTTTATATGGTTGTTAATTTGTGGGCTTGGATCTATGTTGTTGCGTTTTTGACATTTTGATTTATTTTGATTCTGTTTTGAAGCAGATGAATCTACAGATTTGTTTCACATTATTTTTGCCTTGAAAATCTGAGATTTGGTTTGCTGACCCTGATTTACCAAAAAATATGATTTTCTGTTTCGGAGCAGAGGGATCTGCAGATTTGTTGTTTTTATCTGATGATTTGGGTTCACGGTTTTTCCGGATTTCAGTTTGTTTTGTTATGAGCTGGCTTTGGATTTCGTTCCTGATGGATATCTAGATTGGTTTTGGACCGTTGGATTTTTTTGTATGTCCGGATATGATTTTGTTCTGTTGGATATTTTTGGATATCCCGATTTTGTGAAATCCAGATTTGGAGACGGATTATGCTTGCTGGATTTTTTCTTAAAGGACCGTTTGGCTGGAAAGAAAATCATCTTTCGAAATAAGCTCTTTTTCTCAAAAATACTTTCTCTCTCTCTCTCTCTCTCTCTCTCTCTCTCTCTCTCTCTCGAAAAATTTGAACAGAAATCTGTCGGATCGTGGCCGAGGTTGGAAAATGGAATCGGGGGGTGTGGCGGCATTCACTTGTTGCCCCTCCCGGCATACCTGATGACGATAATTTTCTGAGGGTATTGCAACAACTAAAAAACCATTTTTGATAAAAATTAAATTAATCCCACTGATAACAATTTCTGACATTGTTTGATTTTTCGCAGGTTCGGAAGCTCGAAGATGAAGAAGCTAGGAAATGAAGAAATTCAAACTTAGAACTTTTAGGACAAATTTAGGATTTTAGGACTTTACTTGTAATTTTGAAAAAAGTAAATATTCGAAAACGCTGTAATCAGAGTATTGTACAGAAATTGAAAATAAATTCGGTCCTTAATAAAATGGGTTCTTATTTCCTGACTAAATTCAATCCATATTTCTTTTCCAAATATACTCGACACTTCACAATCTGAAGTCGACAATTAACAACTTGCAAATACATGAAATTAATGCAAATTCTGAATTCAAATGAACCTTTGAAAGTTAACTCGTACTCGGTAACAAGAATCGGCGAATATGGCCTTGAATAAATAAATCCAATTTCTTAGCAAACTGAATTTTATTCCGCGTTTGAATTCCAGGCCGTACTTCGAGCAAACCTGACTTTTGTAGTTTGAAACAACTCAACTGATACTCGTGACAAAACCAAACAGATATTCACTATAAATTCGATGCAAACCACGATTCCACCGTGTCTCTGAAAATTTAAGCTCGCACGCAATATAGAAAGAAAAATGCATGCGACTCGAACTTGTTCAGATAACCTCCTTGAAATAGTTTCGCACTGATTTAAATCTAAACCCATTCATACTTTAACGCCTACGGTATGTAAATCAAACGGCATTCCGAAACCCATTTGATGACTAAATCCGGTTCTTGAACAAAGATGGACCGCGTCAAGAAGAAACCGACGTCGATGTTGTCATAAAATTCAACCAATCTCAAACCAAACGTCTTGTGAATCGAGAGATAGGAAACCCTAGTTGCTTGGGGAATCTCTGATAATGACTTTGCTTCATAATCGTCAACCGACTGTGAGTTAACGATACTTCTGCACTTCATAAGTTAAAGCGCACACAATGTTATTTTCCTGCAAAAACAAACAGACTGAGCAAACCGGTTAGCGGTTAGTGAAAACGAAATACAAAATGAATGAAATGCGAAATGCGCCCAATGGTCTAAGGGTAAATTTTGGGGTATGACAGTCGTCTTATTCTAAACCCCAATTATCAAATCTATCTCATTTCACACCTCGGAACGCACAATCTTTATTCTATTTCTATTCTTATAAGGAGAGAGGCGCTTTCACATCTTCTTAAGCAAAAATAGTTGCTGAGTTCACGAGCAGACAAGAGACAACCTGTCGAACTGAAACATCTTAGTAACCAGAGAAAAAGAAAGCAAACGTGATTCCCGTAATAACGCCGAACAAAATGGGAATAAACCGTGAAAACGGGATTACGGGAGAGCCGTACAATATATATATATATATATATATATATATATATATATATATATATATATATATATATATATATATATATATATATATATATATATATATATATATATATATATATATATTATAGCTAAAAAAATGAAATTTAATAAAATGAAATTTTTTGAACAAATGTTGAGCTTATGTCGCACTATTATTCAATTAATTAATAGGAAAAACTATATTTTTTCTAAAAATTTAATTGTCTCCCACAATTTTAATTAAAAAAATATTGTCCCACAATGTAATCTTCCTCATACAAAAATTGAAACTCGATAGGCGCACCCACTTTCCCCCAACCTCTCTCAAATCCATCAACTGCCGCGATAACTCCATAGAGCTCCATTCCGCCACCGCATGCATTGAGGAGCAGCAAGAACTCTCTTCCATCAACCTCCGAATCCCTCCAAATCGCTCTCGCGAAAAATAGACGTTGCTATCTTTCACCGTGTCGAGTTGGAAAGTGTCATCATAGCGGAGGTGGTGGATACAGTGGAAGGTGATTTCCCTCCGTTCCGCCCTCTCATCGTTGATGAAACATAATGCTTTCAAGACTAGTTCAAAGAATCACACAATTTCCCATTCCGCAGCAAAGATACACAATCCCAACTTTCCGTGTTTTTTTATACTCGACTTTGTCTACTTGCGATGATCTTCCAAAGAAGCTCAAGAAATTTGAGAGGAAACCATTGGTAACAAGTATAAACGAACTAAAACGACGAGGTAGGGAGAAGAGAAAGGAGAGACAAAAGGTTGATGAGATTGTTTTACAGTCTCCTGAAAATGGATTGCTGGTTCAGAAATTAGTTCCTATCGCTAAGGAAGTTTTTGCTGCTAGATCTGAATTATTGTCCTGTGTTTCTAGACTTGTGAAGTTTATTGCAATTTATTCATGCAGGTAAATTCAAGAACTTTTGTTTTCTTCATTATTGTTATTTGTGCCTTTGTTGTGTTGTTGCAAGTGGAGTTTCTATTCAAGTGTGATTACTTTGTAGCAAAGTTGTTTGATTAATGCTTCTGAAAATGAGTGAATAGGAAAATTGATCTTCGAAGTTATAAGGTGTCTCTGGTTTTTGCAAATTGACAAACCCTTTCATTGAAATTATACAATGCCGGTTGAAAATTACAAAGCACATACTCCGACACGGACACTGATAATGTGAAAATATAAGACACCGATACAACTAATATATGATAGGATTTGATCTTCATTTGTCCGTTTATAATTTATAGAGTTGAAAGTATTCTAACTAAAATTAATCTCTTTGATTCTTTGTTGATGATTTTTCTATAATAAATGTATAACCCTATTATAAATGTTCCATTTTTCTATGTTGAAGCAAAAAAAAAAAAACCTATCTGAGTTGTCATGTGTTGTATGAGTGTCATACATTTGTTAGACATTGATTCAAAAAGTGTCGAAGTAAGAAAAAAATGTTTTTTGAGGACACTTGTTTGCCTTTTGCGACACGTATCGTACGGGTGTCATACAAGTGTTGGACATCGTGGCACACTGCTCCTAAAGTTGTCCGTGCTTCATTGGTTGAAATCCTATGCTAACTTTTATCGTTAGAGACTCTGATTTGCCACCACACCAGATACTAATTTGCCTATGAAGCTTAAGTCTTTTAATGAAACATTTCTCAGTAATTAGTCTCTGCACAATTGCAATTATGACAAATTTGATATCCTAAATTTCATAAGCAGAGTAGTCTCTAGTAAACTAGCCTTGATATGGGATCAACATTTGACAGAAGCTAACAATTTCGAAGGCCAATTTGCCTATGAAGCTTAAGTCTTTGAATGAAACATTTCTCAGTAATTAGTCTCTGCACAATTGCAATTATGACAAATTTGATATCCTAAATTTCATAAGCAGAGTAGTCTCTAGTAAACTAGCCTTGATATGGGATCAACATTTGACAGAAGCTAACAATTTCGAAGGCCAAGTTGCTTATTCACTCTTCAGAAAATACGTTGTTAATGTTATATTAGGGATATTTTAGGTATTTCCTTCTAATATAGGGATATAAATGTTTAACTTTATTGTTTAGTTACTTTCAGCCTTTAGGTGCTTGAACTTATTGGGGATTTTTTTATATACATTCTTAGTTGATTGATTTGGATTCCTTGCAGCATATGTGGAGAGGTTCATGTTGGTGATCCACCGCATCAAATTAGAACATGTAATGTAAGAGGAAGCTTGTCAAGCAAAGAACACAGTTGGGTCAAAGGTGGTATTGAACATATTCTGCCTCTTGTTGAGTCATTTCATCTGTATGACAGAATTGGGAGGGCTGTTTCACATAATGAAATGCTTCAAGTGGACCAAATTCCTGCAATTGTTGAATTGTGTATCCAGGCAGGTGTTGACATACCTGAGTACCTTACTAGGAGAAGGACCTTTCCTGTTTACTGTGTTGCTGGTCGGATAATCGATTTTGAGAAAAGATTTCCTAAAGAAATTTCTCTTGACAAAGATATAGATGAATATGGATTTCCATATAAGAAAAAGAGATTGGATGAAGACACAAATTCCATGGAAATGCATTGTGATGACATCCAAGGTTAACGAACACACGTCATTTTTCTTCGCTGCCGCTCTCTTTTATGCACAACATACATTTTGTTCTCTGTCAACTCGGCTCACTATGTGTGTGTGCTTCTTTGCAGCTGTTGCTGTCCGAGGCATGAAAGCCTGGAAGAAGATGTGCTCCGGAGCTTCAAAGCTTATGGAGAAATATGCAGTACAAACTTGTGGATACTGTCCAGAGGTACAAGTGGGACCTAAAGGTCATAGAGTGCGAAACTGTCAAGCTTACAAACACCAAATGAGGGATGGGCAACATGCATGGCAGGAGGCCACAATAAACGATTTTGTGCCTCCTGTATATGTCTATCACATTCAAGATCAGAAACCCAATAAGCCTTTGGCAAATGAATTGAAAAGGTACTATGGTATGTTACCCGCAGTTGTTGAGCTATTTTCACAGGCTGGAGCACCAGTTGAAAAGAATTATGCACATACAATGAGGGTAGATGTTGTAGTACCTGATATGGATGAGGAAAAGTGGGTTGTTTAGAGCAAATCGGTCGAATGATTTCATGTGCACGAAGGAACCGTTTGAGCATTGGAAGAGTCTAATTTAAAAATCAAGGTATAATTTATTTCAAATTGCAAAGGTTTTGTAGGCGGGCAAAGATCCATGATGTATATAGTGGGTGATCAGGGATGCATAGTACATTGGATTAAGTTATCTTGTATTGTATTGTGCTGGAAACTATTTCGCAGTCTTGATAATATGGAACACATTTGCTTTTTACACCCATTGAAGGTTATAAACTTGGATTTCTTTGGATTCTTTTGAGAATAGGTCTTTATCCCTCTACAAATCTCATTGGTTAGTGGTTACTTTATTTAGTTTCGAGTCTACTCTTCTTTTATGTGATACTTTAATCTGCTGCTACTAAAACCAAAGAAAACGTTAGACTACTGACTTAGCTTAGTATTTTTCTGGTGTACAAAAGACAAAGAGATTAGCATCAACAGTAATTAGTTTCTAGTTTCAGCTCCACCAGTTTCTTAGAATGGCATGTTCTCTATTTTTGGTAAAGATTTTTGGCTTATTTTCTCAAATATACCTTGGTTATGTTGAGTGAGTGATTGTTATACATTCTCTATCTGAAACTCTGAACTGTTTATTTTCTGCTTTTTTATTTTGTTCATCTGACGCCTTCTCTATCCTTGTTCATTGGCTCAAATGGAGCTTGATTTGTTCTGTTGATGGTGGATTTCACAAGTCATCAAACTGTCATTTGAGAGACAGGAGAAGCTATCACCAATAAGATTAATGATTCAATTGAGCTGGTTGATCAAACAATATATAATTGGGTTACAGGATATGTTCTTGACTTTGGTGTTTGGGCATGGAATCTTGTGGGTTATGTCGCGGTGAAATTTGGATACCAAGCTATTGATGAGCTTGAATCTTAATTCATTTGCAACCAAACTTTAGTTTGTCCAAAGGAAGGGAAAAATATCGAATTACCCACAATGCAATGTAAATGCAAAGGTCAAGAGAGTTATAGGTTCGGGGTTGGTTAAACTTAGGGAAGGTGCTAGCATCCTAAGTTTCTGTAGTACTCTACAGGAACTTCTTGTTTTATATGTTATTTATTGCTAAGGTTTATCTGCTTAAGGATGAGAGACCTAGAGGTTTATTTCTAAATATACTCGACAAATATCGCATCTTGTGCCTACATATCCTGACAGGAATGGAATCAGAGTATCTGTAGTTCTCCTAAAGGGTTATGAGGAACTTCTTGACTGTGGTCAAGGTTCCAGGGGGAGGTAAGCGTTCATATCGAAGCGCTTACTTGGAGTGCGGGTACTCCTATTCTACATTGAAAGTTGAATTGACGGGGTATGTCCACGACGGGACGCCTAAACATGAGTACGGAGACTCGAATCCTAAGGCAAGGATAGAAGGGGAATGTCCACAACGGGACGCTTAAAAGGTGAGTACAGGGACTCAAATCCTGAGACAAGGATGAGGGTAAAGGTATTGACACGGGGGTCAAACATGTGAACCTTTCCTTTGGAGGGGTAAACGGTAATGGGAAAATAGTGATGATAATTGATATTAGCACAGACATGTAAATAGCATGACATAGCGAAATGCAAATAAACCAAGCATGATTATAGGTTAAAATAGAATCGAGAAAAGATGTTGGATATGGATGATGGGAATGATTAATTTAAAAAGGAGAAGAAATTGTTTTTATGGTTTTTTCGAGAATATTATTAAGTTAAAATTAAGTCTAAGTTAAAAGAGACGCTAAAATTAATTAAGTTGGAATAGAGCATTGAAATATTAATTTTGAATTTGAAAAAAGTTTTATTATTTTTTGTGTTTTTTAGTGAAAATATATTTTTTTATGTTATTATCAAAAGAAAATAAAAAATCTAAATCTAATCATATATTTTTATTTATTGAAATTTTAATTCTAATCATCTTTATTTTAAATTTAATTAAAAATTAGACCAAATAGTAATATATATATATATATATATATATATATATATATATATATATATATATATATATATATATATATATATATATATATATATATATATATATATATATATATATATATATATATATATATATATATATATATATATATATATATATATATATATATACACACACACACACACACACATATATATATATATATATATATATATATATATATATATATATATATATATATATATATATATATATATATATATATATATATATATATATATATATATATATATATATATATATATATATATATATATATATATATATATATATATATATATATATATATATAAATTGATTAACGATTGAGTAATTAAATAAAAGAGGTTAATGATTAGTTAATGAGTTAATTAGTGATTAATTAGAAGTTGATTAAGGAGTGGGGGTGGATAAATCACGCGATGTGAGGGCTGCGGAGGTCCACAGTGGACTGCAAGTGTGGATCGGTGGATTAGATCCGTTGGAGATCGGGTGGTTAGCAGTGTTTGTGATACAGTGTGGTGCACGGTGATATCATGGGCGTGCCACACCGGATTACAACAAACATAAACAAAAATACAAAAAAACCTAAGTCCCCCTTGTCCCTTCTTCTTCCGCCGTGAGCTTCCCCTTCTCATCCAATCTTCTTTCTATCTTCTCATGCTCTGCTCGCGTTCTGCTCCTCTTCTCGCCCTCTCTTCCGTTTTTCTTAACCTCTTCCTTTCTCGCCCTATCTTCCATTCTTTCTCTCCTTCGATCCGCCTTCTTTTGCGTAAGACAAACAAAACAACACAAAATCAATAGATTAACAGAGTTAGCCCGAAAAACAACTTACGGTTTTAATGGTTTTTCGTAGGGTTTTTGACGGTGATGGTCGAAGATGGGGCACGAGGGTTTCGAAGGTGGCTCAAGGTTTGCGATGGCGGCTAGCAGGTAACGGAGAGATCAGGGAAACAACGTCAAGGGGCTTCGCGGCGGATGACATTTGAAGGTGGTGGATTCATGGTGACGGCTACAGAAGAGATAAGCTTACAGCTCTCTCTATTTTCGTATTTTAGGATTTCCTCCTTAGGGATTCTTTTTTTTTGGTCCTTCTGTTTGTGAATAGGTTCCCTTTTTATAGCCTTTGAGACATTGGTGCCTTGATTTTGCCATGAATACATAAATTATTCCGTCGACATCTTGTTTAGGAAAGTATGTGATGGTGTTTAATCCTGCTTTGATTGCCCTGATTTCTTTCTTTTGACAGTAAAATTCCTTAAAGTATTTCCATTTTTAAGTTAAACCTGTCCAGACATGTTTATGGATTATGATTTTTGCTTTGAAGAATGTTGATGATGTTTGAAAACCTTCCTTGTTCAACTTTCACGTTTCTGCTGTAAGGTATTTCTCACCTTATGATTTTTCTTAACTTATTCTCATCTCCTTTCAGAAGACATCTTGGAGCAATTTTGAATACGGAAAAGTTCAATACAAAGTTTGAGTTTTGAATGGCGAGGTGCTGTTATGAACGATATAGCTTTCTCAATTCCGCTTGGTGGCCTTCAAGTTTTGAATAAGAGATTTCATTCTTTCATGTGTGTAGATCTTTTTTAGATAGAGCTGATATAGTTTTTGTTTGGATGTTTGTGTATGTGTTTTGGTTGCAGGTAAGCATTATGTGCAATGAAGGGTCAAAGAGGTTCTGGTTGGCTTTGGCAGAAAATTAATGGGCAGCTTGTTTCTCTTTGATTTAGCACATAACTTTTGATTTTGAATTGTAAACTGACTTGTGGCCTTGTATTTTTGTTCTGATTTTCAGGTACTTGTCCTTTGTGTGAAGGTGGTATAGATGTACTTACAAGCATTGTTTGGTGATCATACGCAGGATGAATATGAGATCAAATTTCTTTGGCTATAACTCACTTGCTTTGAAGAAATGAAGATGAACTTCAACCTCATCCATCAATGTTCGCAGGGAAATTATCTTGCCATGTTTTGACTTGCAGCCGACGAAACGCAGTCGTGACAGGGAATGGGCTTTGCTTACTGGGGCACGCCGATGGGAAGACAGCGGTCGTTGCCAACAATCAAGCTTCAGCCTCAACACGCTCTACTGATCTTAGAAGATGTGTTATGTTTTCCTTTGAATTGGACATCATTCGGAGGTCGCGACTTCGGGAATTCGGTATGCTATTACCGCAGTTATTGAAGTGTTAAGTATGCCTCCCTGTTCTGCACACAATAAGCTATTAACAATCTGTTTCAAACTTCTTTTGATATGATGTTACTCTTATTATGCAGGTGAAAACATTGCTGGATGCAGAGCTGAATTTCGACATATTGCGACCAACGACTCGAGCTGGCATTGTCAAGTGGATCCCTTTTTTATCCCTTCGTAAGTGTCGCACCTCGAAAATTCATTCGAACATACGACCCTCGCGCGAAAGGCGCGGAAAATGCGGTTCGACAGAGTCGCCACCAAACTTTATTTTTCCCGAATGAACGGGAGAGGAAAATATCGAGAAAACCTCATAAACGCGGAAGGAACACGGTCGTCGCAACCATATTCCTGGGTTCGGGAGTCGGTTACGCGAGGGGAAGGTATTAGCACCCCTCACGTCCGTTGTACTCAACGGGAACCTCTTAATTCGAGTTGTGATGGATGTTAGCTAAACTTAATTCTTCTCTTCTCGCTACTAAATACTATAACGATAAGGATACTAAAGGGATAAAGATGCTAGGGGAAAGGGGGACGGTTAGAGGATAGGGTGCTCGCCAAGGATTGGGGCCCTTGTGCCTACTTATGCTCATTCGGACGAGAATGAGAAATCAGAGCGTCGTAGTTCGACTACGGGAAAGGATACGGGGAAATGGAAGATGAAGGGGATTGTGCTCGCCAAGATCATCGCAATCTTGTGTCTACATATCTTACATTCAAGAATGAATGAAGAATCAGAGCGTTCGTAGTTCGTGGTAACGACCACGAAAGAAACGGGTTTGAATTGGATTTGAAGTGGATACAG